AGATGGAGAACTCCAGAGTCAGATATTCCTGGGCATCGTGCGTCCTGATAAAGGACTTTTTGCTACATTTCAAGTGCTTTGGAACAGAATTAAGTTTTCTCAAAGATAGTTTAATCCAATGAATTTAAGTTTGTGTAGGCGGGTCAAGAGGCCAGCATGACGTCCAACCTAGGGCTAATGGTCTGTTTGCTTCCTGAAGCCTGCCTGGCTTTCCCCAACTCTACTTTGATCCTTAAAACACCCCCACCCCAACACTTAGGAAAACTGTCATTTATCTTCTGATATCCTCTAACGCACTTCTGTATCTTTGTTACCTTCTTCCTCTCACCCGAATTCATGGTTCAGCATCTTACCCAGTCTTTGAATTGCAACAAAGTGTGTTCGGTGTCTTCCATGTACAAAATGTCCTGTATGTGTTGAATGAAGGAATATGCAAATTCAAAATATCTCAATAAGTCAGTGTGCCTCAGAATTTCCCAGGAAAACTTAAAGTATAGGTTCCAAGGCCACACCTTCCAGAGGATTTGATTCACACAGTTCAAGTATACCAGGGTACTTCAGAAAATTCAAAGACAAATGAAATCAAAAGGTAAATTTGTTTGGTTTTTTTTTAAGATTTATTTTTTATTGGAAAGGCAGATATACACAGATAAAGAGAGACAGAGAGGAAGATCTTCCATCCATTGATTCGCTCCCTAAGTGGCTGCAACAGCCAGAGCTGAGCTAATTCCAAGCCAAGAACCCAGAGCTGCTTCCTGGTCTCCCATGCAGGTACAGGATCCCAAGGCCTTGAGCTGTCCTTGACTGCTTTCCCAAGCCACAGAGAGCTGGATGGGAAGCGGGGCCACCGAGATTAGAACCAGCGCCCATATAGGATCCTGGTGCATGCAAAGCAAGGACTTTAGCTGCTAGGCTACCACAGCAGGCCCTAAATTTGGTTTTGGTACAGAAAAACTTCTGAAATCCGTGCAGTGGTTTTTCATGATGTGCATCTTTCGTGAACTTAGTGGAGCCTCCTTGAATTATGGTAAACAGTCTTGGATGATACTGAGGAGCAAGCTGAATAGAGAACCAGGGAGAATGGCTGATCCATGGTGGTCTGCAGTATCTCCTGGGAGGGTCGCATCAGCCCTGTCTCGTTCCAGTTCCTCCCACTCATTGATGTTGAAAGATAACACAAATGCCTCCGTTTTAACTGTGTTTAGTGGAACACTTAGTCTTTTACTATAATCTAGTTCTGAAAAATAATAAATAATAATTCAAAAATAAATAGTTATTGAAAGGAATTAGTTTGGGAGTATGGACATACAGCACTATATATTTTTTAATTTATTTATATAAAGTGGACAGATTTCACATTGAGGAATTTACTTATACTTTCCAACCTACTTCCACTTCTGCTCGCATTTCCCACCCACCTCCTCCTTCCCCCATCTTTTTTTTTTTCCTCCTAGTTTTTACCATAGCATATTTTCATTTCAATTGACAATCACAGGTTTAACTCTCCACTAGGTGAAGATATCAACACTGGCAAATGGAAGATAATAACAACCAAAAAATCAAAACAAAAACACAATGAAACACCTGTTATTCCTCAGTGTATAAATGAAGTCTATACATACTAGTTAACTACCCATATGTTACTCTAGCATGTGTAGGTTACATTTATGTACTCTGGTATTAGTTATCATAGATTAGGGAAAACAGGTCATATTTGTCATTTGGGGATTGGCTTATTTCATCAAGCATAATGGTTTCCAGTTGCATCTGTGTATCTGTAAAAGACAAGACTTCATTCTTTTTTTTTGATTGGGTAATATTCTACAGGTGTATATATACCACAGTTTCTTTATCCAGTCATCTACTGACGGGTATCTGGGTTGTTTCTACTTCTTAGCTATTATGAATTGAGCTACTATAAGTGGTCTTTTTTTATTCTATCAGTTCTGATAATTTGCATTTCCAGAGTGTGTTATCAGTTTTTCTGATTGAGGAAAAGATTAATTATGCTTTTTATTGGATATTTGGAATTGGAATGACTTATTTATCAGCCAGACTGAAACAAGGAAGGAGTTAAAATGTGACTTCTTCATATGTGATACTCAGAAACTCTGGAAATTGTGTATTTATGCAAGTGTTTTGATTTCAAGAGGGAAAAGTTTTTATTTAACTCTATATAGTGTGTATATAATAATATCATTTTAAGGCACCTGTTTCAAAATAGAAGTTGGGATGTTGGAGATAATAACAACAAACAGAAATTAAAGAAGCGGCTGGGCTCAGTGCCCAGAATAACTAGCCAGACTTTAAGAACAGGGCAAATAATAAAACTAATAGAGGAGAAAAAAGACAGGAGTGGATGGAGTTGCCTCTGCCTCCATCAAAAATGACTTCCCTGCAGTGTGACATCATTGGTGAATTCTGTGGAGTACATTGGACATTGTGAGTGGGCAGGGTTCCTACCCACCTCACTCAATGATGGACTCCAGTGGAGTTCACCTTTCTGAAATGTGAATCCTCAATACAACAGTAGCACAGATTGAATTTGATTCTATAACGCTGTAACACCCATGAAAACCAAAGATCCTAACAATGTTAGCGATTGAAGAAAAGCCTTATTCCCAGGCTGCTTGACTGTCTACTGATTTACATAAACAAAGGAGGAAATCCTCTTTGTGTGTTTAGGGGTGTGTGTGTGTAATACAGGAACCCAGGTTTTCCTGTTATTGAAAAGTATTCTTTAATCTTTTAAGCACATTTGAGGACCTGCGTTTCTACCAGGTGTTTTGTTTCTATGGATATTAAAGGAGAGCACAATTGTCAGAGAAACCTCTTAGGTCTCCCATTGTGTCATTGGAGACCCCAAACCTAAAAGAAACAAAGTGGACAGACTCATACCACTGGCCTGGATGTAGTCAGGGAAAGAAAATCCACTTGGGAATAAAAGACTGTAACATTTCCTGTGATCGTGGGTGTTAAACGGATGATGGCTTTTTAGCCATGAAAGTAAATGTAATTGGTGAGAAACATTCAGAAGACTTTAGCCAAACACAACTGAAATAATGGCCAGTAAACCAAAATGTTAGCTGAGGTTTAAAAATATGTATTCTGGCTGTGAGCAAAGCAGGATTGTACTGAAGCTATGAAAATAGAGTCTGGTATCTCCACACTGCAGGGCTCTCAGTGGACTCTCCCATGGGAATGACCTGAGATGAGAAATCTGAAATAGAGTGTGGAATACATGAACCACAGCATCTTCTGTGGCCAACTGTAATTGGAGCTAGTGCTTTCTGTCCCCCAAGAACTCTTGCGATCAGTTGAGCATAGATATTGGGAAATATGGAGCCCTTGGGATTTTTTAAACAAAGAAGATGCCATGGTTGCTAATTTTTTCACAAGTCAGTGATTAGAATCAAATTTATTATAACCAATAGAGCTTTCTTCTTTCCCTGCTTCCTCTATAGAATTGTGCCCACATAATCTTATTAATGCCCATTCTCAGGGATCAGAAGGAGCTTTAAGAGAAGCCCCTAAAGATCCTTAGCCACCCACTCCCACACTCTACATCACACAGAAGATAAATGTAGAGACATTCAGGGTGATTTGCTCCTGGTGCCAGGAGTCTGACCTGTGGCCAAGAGGTGATGTGGTCATCTTCAGTATGGAAGCGGCTAGAGGAATAAGAAAGGCTTGTCTTGCAGCTGGGGTGACCGCAGGAATTGATGTGTGATGCTGTGTGCCTGCATGTTAGGGTCATGAGCAGACGCAAATGGATCCAAAGCTGCCTAATATTATAAAGTCAAATAGTCCTTTCTTCTTTTTTCTAAGTTATGATCAAATACAAATTGATTGTTTAAAGATTTATTTATTTATTTATTTAAAAGTCAGATATACATGGAGGAAGAGAAAGAGAGACAGAGGAAAATCTTCCATCTGCTGAATCACTCCCCAAATAGCCACAATGCCCAGAGCTGAGACAGTCTGACTTTCTGGTCTCCCATGCTGGTGCAGGGTCCCAAACCTTTGGCCCATCCTCTACTGCTTTCCCAGGCCACACACAGAAAGCCGGATGGAAAGCGGGGCCACCAGGATTAGAACCAGCGCCCATATGGGATCCCAGTGTATGCAAGGCGATTACTTTAGCCACTAGGCTACTGGCCGGGCCCACAAATAAATTTTTTTATATTTATTTTTTTATTGGAAAGTTAGATATACAGAGAGCAGGAGAGGAGAGACAGAGAGGAAGATCTTCCATCCGATGATTCACTGTCCAAACAGCCGCAACGGCCAGAGCTGAGCCGATCCAAAGCCAGGAGCCTGTGGTTTTTTCTGGTGAAGGGTCCCAAGGCTGCTTTCCAGGCCACAAGCAGGAAGCTGGATGGGAAGCGGGGCTGCCAGGATTAGAGCCAGTGCCCATATGGGATCCCAGCATGTGCAAGGTGAGGACTTTAGCCACTAGGCTAAAATAATACTGGATATTAAGAAGCCAATTAGTTTTCTTCTCCTTCTCTTTCTCCTCCTCCTGGGGAGATAATATTCATTACACCTGAAGTGTGCCTGTTCATTGAACTCTAAAACTAGAAGGAAGCATTGCAGTTCCCCAGAGGATCCAGTGAATTTAAAATCATTCTTTCCCAGTAAGTACATATCTGACGCTGTCAGCCCTCTGTGCTTCTTATCCTGCAAGCTGTGATTGTGCATATGTAGCCTTCACTAAATGAGCTGGCTGCTTTTCAGTTATTTTCATTTTAAATGGATGAAGACTTGAATGAAGCAATTTTTATACTTATTACTACATTGCAAACTACATGAGAGTGGAGATTGTGTCTTGCGTTTCTTTTGCCTTGTGCTTTCATCAGAGGCGCACCTATTCACTGTATATTCTTCCTCCTTCTCTGTCATAATGCATCTGCATAGCAGGTATCATACAAAAGCAACACTGAATGGGACTCCAAACCCAGGCTACAGACCCATTAACCTGAGCATTCTTCTCTTGGCAGTGACGAACAAGAAGCCCACACAGGCGTCCATCACGAAAGTCAAACAGTTTGAGGGCTCCACCTCGTTTGTTCGGAGGTCACAGTGGATGCTCGAGCAGCTTCGCCAGGTTAATGGAATCGATCCTAACCGGGTGAGTGGATTGTGCAATCCTGAACAAAGGCTTCTCTTTACACCTCTCTGCTCTGATTGACCTTGGTAGGGGCGGTGATTGTTTCAGTCATTCTTATCAGGACAGCTTCTCTATGTCAGCTAGGGGACTAAAACTTTCTGATGCCCACTCCCTTCTCAAGGGAAATCCTAAATTCTTTTCATGAAATGCTACTTCTTATCGTGTTTACCAGCAAAGGGAGGAGTTCAGATGATCACATCTGTAATTATCAGCAAGAAAAACATACTCACCAAAGCTTCATTTATCTCCTGATATCACCAGTGACATAATTTATTTACCACAAATAAAATGAATGCACCTTAAAACTACATATTAGGATTCCGCTGGACTCCATAAGAGAATTGTGTTATGGTATTGTTACCTATTCAAATGACAGTTCCTTTGCTCATCTACACACAATACTCAAAACATCTGTAATGAAGCATAATGAAATGTAGGATATGCTAAAATAATAAGGATAAGTGTCTCCCTATCTATGTCAGGGAGAAAAAATTAGTATAGAACATTAATGAAGGAATCCTTTCTCTAAGCAAGTGGAGAAATATAATATATGGTCTGAATTTTAATATAAATCAGTGTATAGTAAGATTATCTCAACCACTGTGATAAGCTCGCTAGTGACATCTGCAAAATCATTACTTGGGATTTGATTAATACAGAGAAATGAAGACTGTCTTCAGCCTCGGGTCCTAAGAAAATACGAAACTTGTAATTGGGAACATAGTCTTTGTTTTAATGTTCATGAGTCTCATAACATTTTAAAACTGGAAGCAGCTATTTTTGTAGATTGAGATCGCTGATTTTACTATCTTTTCCAGGATTCTGCAGAGTTTGATTTGTTGTTTGAAAACACTTTTGACCAGTGGGTCGCCAGCACAGCCTCAGAAAAATGCACGTTCTTCCAGATCCTTCATCACACCTGCCAGAGGTACCTCACAGACAGGAAGCCAGAGTTCATCAACTGTCAGTCAAAAATTATGGGAGGTGAGTGGACACTTGTAGGACTTCAGTGACCCTAATTCCTTAACTTCTCTTTTCACAAAATGTTACTTTCTCAACAGCCTAATTAAGGTCAAAAAAAGAAAAAGAAAAGATAATCAGGGCTAGACATTATGAGAACTCTTCCGGGGAGTTCATGTATGCTAAATCTATACGCAGTGCATGGCATGTTCTGCACTCCTTCAAAAGCTGGTCGTAGAAGAATTAGCCTTAGCTAAGATTACTTGTGCTATAAAAACAAGCCTGCCTCTTTATGAGAAAAGTTATCCTCTTTGATTCTTTCACTCCCTTCTCCGTAATGTTGCAGACCACTGTTTTCAGATTGCTTTGGCCTATTATTTCTCAGGATGCTTTGTAAATATGAATGTAAAAATTCCAAGGGAAGCTATTCCTCTTTCAAATACCAAGTGTGGCAATCATTCCTTGAACAGCATACAGAGCTGTTAAAATAAGGACTATAAGCCAGCATTAAGGGGTAGTTACCAGCTTTGGCAATGTAATGAGAGCTATTTAAAGGGCTCCCCCCCACCCCGGCTCCATATTTCTTTTAGGTAACATTGCTTTCTAGGGAATTCAAACTGGGCTAAAAAGGTGAAAACTTTTCATTCTGTGATAGTAAATGTTTGTCAGTCTTCTCATGAACATGAATTTTTTTATATGTACCAACTATTCCATAATGAAATGTAAAATTAAGATCACATCAGCGCTACTACACCTTCTCGTGAGTTGTATGGATCTTTTATATGAAAATAGGATGGAACTGATTATTCTGTTCTAGAGATGGTTACCCATTGTCACTTTGCCATTAATCTGCTGTACATTGTAGGAGAAATCACTGTCCAGTTCTCTGTGGTCGTCCATTGGAGGGTTGGCATAACTCTTAAACTAGAGTGTATTCTAAGAACCTTGACAAATTTTTCTAGGCTGTTGATACAATCTTTTATTGTGGTTCCTTTATTTAGTCTTAGAAAAATAGACGAGGTGATGAGCTGTGCATATTTTTTTCAGTTTTCATAGCCAATGATTTACAAGTGAAAAACATTAGACATAGATGTTTGAAGAAAAAGCTCATATCAAACATTGATCCATTTAGGAAGTGTAGGAAGATATGATATGTTATATCTACATATACAGGCTATTCAAATGCATCCCATTCTGTAAGTGCTGCCCTCACAGACTTAGCAGAGGGTTGAAACAGACCAGGCCTTGGACCATGCTTTCAGGAAATGGGCAGTTGTCCAGGAAACCCCCGCTTTGCCTGTTTTCCTTTATGTGAGGCTGACTCTTCTGGCTTGTGATAGGTTCTTTTTCACTATCTTTAGTTCCTATGATGAAACCTTTCCTTGTCAATGTCAGTATGAGTGTACTTGGGAGAACTCACTCACATACACACACATGAAATTTAAAAATAAATTTATTTGATAGTTTTAAAATATTTATTTATTTTTATCGGAAAGGCAGATTTACAGAGAGAAGGAAAGACAAAGAGAGAAACACCTTCCATCCATTGGTTCATTCTCCAGGTACTGCAATAGTTGGAACTGAGCCAATCTGAAGCCAGTAACCAGGAGCTTCCTCCTGGGCTTCCATGAAGTTGCAGGGACCCAAGATTTTGGGCCGCGATCTGCTGCCTTCTCAGGCCACAGCAGGGAAGTGGATCGGAAGTGGAGCAGCCAGGACAAAAACCTGCGCCCATATGGGATCCTGGTGCTTGGAGGTAGAAGATGAGATAGTTGAGCTATCCCACTAGGCCCTGGATAGAATAGTTTTTAAAACTAATTCTTTTTCTTGAACTTTCTGAATAGCCCTCATAGGCCGGTAGCCTGCCTGGCTCCTCTTGGAGAGGAATCACCATGAGCTTTCTTCTTTGTGGACCCTATCGTAAAAATAGAGGGGCCAGCAGCAGGGTGCTTACATGGAAACTGCTGCATATTCTCAGGATGGAAGTGAGGAGGGGCAAGTACAAAGACCCCAAATTCACCGTCCTTGCAATGAACGTGAACCACCTGATCCCCCCTAAGATAGGGATGCATTTGCTAACTCTTCTCTTGCTCCTTCTGTTACACTGGGCAGCTCCTCTTCTGTTGACCTCTAAAACTCTCATTAGTTCTTTCAGATGTTTCCTAATATCCAGTTTTACAATACACAAGGACAAAGTATCTACTGTGTGCTACTGCATCCTGAAAACAAGGAATGCTTTTCCATTTGGTCCCTGGATAGACCCTTAGAGCCGTCACCCAAATCCCAGACTGACCTATCCCTGATTGTCTTTGGTAATGGGTTATTCATTTACCTTTGTGAATGAATCAGCCCTTCCCATACATCCCTCCGCACTCCTGCTGCTTTTGGCAGACATTGTCGCCTGTAATGTCTTCCATTGCCTCTGAACTCTAAATCATGCAGAGTTGAAGCAGGAACCCATGTGTTCAATCTTAATTGCAGGTGTGTAACAGATTAAGTTCAAGATTGGTTTCTGAAGGGCCTAACACAATAACCTAGCGGCTGGAGTCCTCGCCTTGTATGCACCAGGATCCCATATAGATACCAGTTCTAATCCTGGCAGCCCCGCTTCCCATCCAGCTCTCTGTTTGTGGCCTTTAAGGCAGTAGAGAATGGTCCAAGCCCCTGGAGCCCTTGGGACCCTGCAACTGCGTGGGAGACCCAGAAGAGGTTCCTGGCCCCTGGCTCCTGGCTTTGGATTGGTGCAGCTCCAGTCAAAGGATGGAAAATTTTCTTCTCTGTCTCTCCTCCTCTCTGTACATCTGACTTTCCAATAAAAATAAAATAAATCTTTAGGGAAAAAAAAGATTGTTTTCTGAAGCAGGATAAAGAACAAGTTATAAGATCAAATGACAGAGCTGACTTTTCTTTTATGACTGTTGGTGCGTCTCTCATGTTCTCACTCTTGCTGGACCCAGTTTTCCCAAGTATAACATGTGGAAGCTAGAATTATATGATATCTAAAATTCTCTTTCAGTTATATCAAATATGTAACTTCCACATTACAGTTTCATTATGTAGGTTAATACTTCTTAGCTAAGGAACCAAGTAAAAGATTTAGTGCAGTTACATATTTACTGGGACTAGATTCATAATAAGGGCACAACTGTGTGCATCAATTATATTGTAATTTGTTGACAGCCTGGACACCATGAATGAATGTGTTCTGCTATATTTAAACAGTTCCTTATCCTTGATAGCAGTTGCACCCACGAACTAATGAATTAGCATATTAAGAAGTCTTCCTTGCTGATAGTCCTGAGACTTAAGTATTACATGATTTAGGCCTGGAGCGATAGCGGCTGAAGTCCTCGCCTTGCATGCACCAGGATCCCATATGGGCTCCAGTTCTAATCCTGGCAGTCTGGCTTCCCATCCAGCTCCCTGCCTGTGGCCTGGGAAAGCAGTCAAGGGTGGTCCAAAGCCTTGGGACCCTGCACCCACGTGGGAGACCTGGAAAAAGCCTTGGGACCCTGGCTTTAGATTGGCTCAGCTCTGGCCGTTGCAGCTGCTTGGACAGTGAATCATCAGATGGAAGATCTTCCTCTCTGTCTCTCCTCCTCTCTGTATATCTGCCTTTCCAATAAAATAAATAAATCTTTTTTTAAAAAAAAGTATTACATGATTATGGGGTCCCTACTTTCAGACACCTTTAAGTTTTGGGTACATTCTGCATCAAGAGCAGTTGAAATTTATTCCCAGTTATGTGATATGTTCTGATATCTCCTTATCATATGGGCCACAAGTCTCAGATATAATTATTTACTATGTTGTGAAACTGATAATAATTCTGTGATTTTATTAATTTGTTCGTGGTATTGGTAGGCTGCCCTGCACCAAATTCTTTGCATGCATTATCTAACTTTGTTTTCAAAGCAACCTTAGAAAATATTATTTATTATCTCCATTTTACAGAGAAGGAAATGGGATCAGAGAGATTAGTACATAGCTTGGCAAGAGCCAAATAGCTCACAAGTTGGAGAGGTGATACTTCAGCTCAGGCCCACTCTGCTCTGAAAGCCTGTCCATGCGGCCTGAGTGGTGTGCTCCAGGAATCCCTGCTTTCTTGTTTTGGCATTAGTGGCACCCCCTGGAATTATGCCGGAATTGCTACAATTATTTGAGCTAGCTAATTTCTGGGAATTAACAAAGGAGGGTGGGAAGAGAAAAAAGAAAAACTCTGGACAGTTTTAAAATTTTTCCTAATGGCTCAAATGTATGATAATAATTCAACCTGGATTTTGTAGGTCATTTTTACAAAGAGAGGGATAAACAGAGACATCCACCATCTGCTGGTTCCCTCCCCAAATGGTCACAATGAGCAGAGCTGGGCTAATCTGAAGCCGGGAGCCTCTTCTGGCTCTCCCATGTTGATGCAGAATACAAGTCCTCAGACCATCCTCTACTGTTTTCCCAGGCCATTAAGCAGGGAGCTGGGTTGAAAGTGAAGCAGCCAAGACTCAAACTGGTACCCATATGGGATGCTGGAGCCACAGAGGATAAGCCTTCCATGCCACTACTCCATCCTTGGTTGTTTTTTGATTGGTTGGTTCGTTGGTTAATTTTTGCCAGAGATAATAGAGTTATCAAGAATCTTTAAAACCATCTTGCTTGTTGTTGTTCATTAGAACTTCAACAGATTAAATAAGTAAGCATGCGAGGAAGATGATACAACCCCAGCCACCTACAGGACTCCTTGGGGACTGAGCATGTGCACTGGGAAAACTTGGACCCAACCGTTTGGAATGTGTTGATCAGAATCCTAGGACGTGGAAGTCAGTCTACCTGACTCCCACTGAACAATACATTCTCCACTCCCAATTCAACATAAAATCACTATTGAAATATTTGTGAGTCAATAGTAGTTCTGTTCTTATATTGATCAATTGTGTCTATCTAACATAACAGTAGCTTGCTTCTCTTGGAGAAAGGTTACGCAGAGATGAAATCTTTGGCATCATTTACAGCCTTTCCCCAAAAACACT